TGTGTCTTCAACTCCTGAGATTCTCTCTTCCGTCTCTTGTATTTTGTTGGTTATGCTTACGTCTGTAGTTCCTGATCGTTTACCCAGTTTTTCTATTTCCAGCATTCCCTCAGATTGTGCTTTCTTCATTGTCTCTATTTCAGTTTTTAGTTCTTGAATTGTTTCCTTGAGATATTGATATTGATTGACTTGAAAATTGATATCTTGTAATTTTTGGTTAGTTTTTTTCTTCCATTTCTTCAAGGGATTTTCTCATGTCCTCTTTGAGATCCTCTATCATTTTCCTGAAGATTTTTTAAGGTCATTCTCTTCTGGTTCATCTGCATTGTGATGTTCAGGTCTTACTGGTGTATGGTTCCTAGTCTCCAGTGGTGTCCTATTGGGTTTTCTGTTGTTGGATGTGTTTTTACCTTGTCCTCTTCTCATCCTTTCTTCTGGTGGGTGTAGCAAGAGTTTCTTGTTCTCCTGGTGGGTGTGGGACCAAGGTTCTCTTCTGGTAGATGCAAACAGATCCAATACTCTGATGTCGGTCTTTTTCTCGTGAATGGAGGTGTCACTGTTCCCCGGGTGTCGGCAGTGTTCAGGCATGCAGGGTCCTGTACCGCCGAATGGAGGCCAGGCTGCCTCTGGGTGTTCGGAGTTCAGAACCTGCCACCTCCATCTTATTTTTTGAGGCAAGGTCTCTCACTGGACCTTGAGCTCACCAATAAACACACACACACACACACACACACACACACACACACACGTGCCTGTAGTGGCAACTTGTTCCACCAATAAATTTAGGGTGTGGCTTCAGTGTGTGGACATGATCCCTTATAAGGAAGACAAAGGAGGTATGTGTGGGTATAGCCATCCATCCATTATCTATATACCCATCCATTCACCCACTCACCCACTCATCCACTCATTCGTCTGTCTGTTCATCCATCCACACATCCATCCTTTTGTCCATCCATCCATCTGCTCATCTACCTACCCACACAGCCAAATATCTGCCATCAATTGATCTACCTACTTACCAGTCTAGTCATCCATCCATCTCTTTATCATCACCCATCCATCTACCCACCTAGCCAACCATCTATCCACTCACAGCTACACCTCTATCCATTCACCCACCCGTCCATATGACCACCTTTCTACCCATCTTCCATTCATCCACCCATTCACCTATCCAAAGAGTGGAGGAAATGGGGAGAGGGAGCCTGGCAAGGGGAAGATGATGCCTCCTGGCTGCCTGGGATTTCCTCCCCACAGATACTGATGAGTGTATCATCCATGGTTACCTTTGCCACCTAGGCTGTTATGTCAACACAGAGGGCAGTTTTCAGTGTGTTTGCAATGCAGATTTCAAGCTCAGCCCTGATGGGAGGAGTTGAATGGGTGAGTTGAGGTTGTATGGGTGAGCAGGCCGTTGATGTGCCCAGGATTCTGCGGATCTTGAACGTGTAATCATAGCTGCAGGGAGCTCAAGATCAGCGCTCTACATTGTTCCCAGTTCTTACTCCTTTTCTGTCCCTTTCTCCCATGCTGTTCCCTGAGCCTTGTAGGAAATGATATAGACAGCCCATCTATGGCCAGGTACTCAACAGTCATTTATTCTTAGCATAATGCTTATGCTTGCTTCTTTGTTTTCTTTCTCTGGCCTATGTGTTTGTATGTGTATATACATGATTATGCTTGAGGATGCACGTGTATGTGCAGGTATGTGTGCATGTTTGCTGGAAAGGATGATTCCTAGGGAACTATCCACCTTGTTTTTTTCATTTACCTATTTACTTATTTTTATTTAAATTAAAATATTCTGACTTATGGTTATTTTGTGCAGGGGAGGGGAGCACATGCATGCAGATGGATATCACAGTACAACCTCGTGGGATCTGTTCTCTCTGTCCATCTTTACATGTGTTCTAGGCATGGAAATGAGGGTTTCAAGCTTGGATCATCAAGCAGCAAACCCCTTCACCCACTGATCCATTCCACCACACCCCTGACCTTTAAACTCAATGCCAGAAGTATCCTATGGCCCCATAATTAGTGTCAATGGTCCCTGGGTAGCCAACCTTCTCAGGCATGTCCAACTTTACCACCTGAGGGCTGTATGTGTCCCATGACAACTACTAATGTTTCCCAAAACATCTCTAGGCGATGTCATGTTGCAGTGTCCAAAGGATGGGTAGCCTATCGTCTAGATGCCCATGGGACATTTTACTTTCACAATCCCTGTGTGTGGTTAGATGGGCTCACTGGCTTTTCTGGCCACTTCTTGACCAAAACAATTTGTAAAAAATAAGGAAACTTATTTTTCCAGTACATCTTTGCCTTAGCTCCTTCAACCTATTTATAGCCTCCTCATGGGCTCTTTTCCTAGTCAGTGGGCTGATGGGTTCTGATGACTCTTTTTGAGTTTGTTTGATTTTGAAAAATGCACAGTGGGTTGGGGAAATGGCTCTGTTGGTAAAGTGCCTGCCAGTCAAGCATGAAAACCTGGATTTAAAAAAACGAGGTGTAGTATTGTACAGGACAGGTGGGTCCTGGGACTTCACTGGCCAACCACTCTAGCTGAGTCTTCAACTCGGGATTCAATGAGAGACCCTGTGTCAAAATAAAAAATAATGTGGAACGTTATCAAGTAAGATATCCAACATTGACCTCTAACCACATATGTACTAATACATGCATGCACACATGAACTTGTACACATACATATAATACACACACACACACACACACACACACACACACACACTCCCCCCATACACAAGCAGACTGAGTTAGGACAGTTTTGGGTTTGTATCAAAAGTTGGTCTGGGGAGATAGCTCAGGGAAACACATGAAAATAATGGCTGCCAGTAATCCCCACACAGGGAGGCAGACATAGGGAAACTCTGGAACAAGCTAGCTAACCACTGTAGCCTGTGAGCTCTGGGTTCAACTAAAAATAAACATAGTGGGGAATAATGAGAAAGACACACCAATATCGAGCATGTATGCATGCTGCCACACAGGCAAAAAAAAAAAAAAAGCCCTCTGTGTTATGTTACCTGCTATCAGCATCCTTCAGCCAGAGCCGTATCTCTGCTACACTGACGTATCATCACGATGTGTCATGATCAATGCCGGGTTCCCATGAGACTCACTCTCAGGGTTGTACAGGCTCTGTGGAGAAACATACAATCATGCCTTGCTTGGCAAGGGGAATATATCTTGAGAAATGGATCACATGGTATTTTTACTATTTTGTCAACATTTTAGATCTTGCTTCACACACGTGTGTGGCATATGTCAATCACTTTATGTTGTCTCTAAGTGCGGTGGAAATCAGTTTAGGGTTTGGAGAGTGGCTTAGCTTTAGAATTTGCCAAGGACAATCCTGGCTGGCTCCTCAGTGGTAGATTCTAAGCAAATTCTCATGCCCCAGCTCCTGATTGGCAGATTCTAGACGGGCACTCTATTGCTGGTCCACCACTCAAACCCTCACTGGAAAATTCTAAGTAGGTGCTCTACTGATCAGCGAAACTCCCAGCCATGTTTTAGTATATTCTCTTCTAGTATATTCTAGAATATCCCAGTATATTCTAGTCAGAGTCTACATACACACAAGATCTTCACTGGGGGGAGGGGAGATTCTGGGCAGGAACTCTGCTGCTGATCTGCAGCCTCAGCCCTCCTCTAGGCATTACTTTGAAATGTAAATGGATGGAGTTACTTAGAATAATGCTGAGTCCATGGTAAGCACTCAGGCAGTGTGGTGACATCAAGCTTCAGCATGAGGAAGCCACATCTTTTCTCTCTTTAAATCTATCTTTGTGGGGGGTAGGGATCTCAGACAAGTGATACTTAACTGACAAGCCTGCCTGAGCGTGACAAGGGTAGGACCCAGTGATTACCCATTTGTCTGTGCAGATGTGAGGCTGGGGCTGTGTTTCCTGCATTGGGATTCGGATGACTGTGGAATTCCCCTGCCTGGAAAGTACCAGGTGGATGTCTGTTGCTGCTCCATTGGATCATCATGGGGAGCTGAGTGCAAGCTTTGCCCGGAGCCTGGCTCCTCAGAATTCTCCAGCCTGTGTCCCCAAGGGCTGGGCTTTGCCAGCCATGGCTTCCTGTCTGGCCATCCCTTCTATAAAGGTTAGTCTGAGAAGGGGCACACCAAAGGAGAGGTCCTGGAAGGAAAAGGAGGGTGGTAAAGGGCACGGCATGGGCAAAGGCCTAACTGTAGGAAGCATTATTTGCAGAGAGGAAGATTAGTATCCAAGGCATGATGACCTATGACTGTCATCCCAGCACTCAGGAAGTAGAGGCAGGAGGACCAGAAATTCAGGGCCAGCTTGGGTTGGGCTACATGAGACCCTCTGGGGACAAATCAAAAAACAGGATTGGTATGATAATGGAGTTGATGAAATATTTGCCTTGCAAGCATGAGGACCTGAGTTCAATCCCCATGTAAATTTCTGGGTATGGGGTAAACAGATGTGATCTAGAGCTGAGCAGACAGACACAGGCAGATCCCTGGGGCTCACTGGCCAGCCAGCCTAGGTCAGTCCCAGGACAGTGAGAAAACTGAAAGAAACAGAAAATCAAAGATGATTTTTCCTCCTTGGAGCTCCTGAGGAACAACTGTTAAGGCTGTCTTCTGGCCTCCTTATGCATACACACACACACACACACACACACACACACACACACACACACACGTGTGGTGGTGCACACCTGTCAAGCCAGTACTGGAGAAGTGGAAGCAGGAATTCAAGGTCACTGTGGGGTGCATAGTGAATTTGATACTGTGTGAAAAACAGAAAAGGCGGAGATAGCAGGATGGCTCAGTGGGTAGAGGCTTTCCTCTGAGCCGGACAATATGAGTTCAGTCCTCAGAATACACAGAGTGGAAGGAGCAAACCAACTCTCAAATGAATAAAGCTATTTCAGCCAATGGACAGGCAGAATTTAGCTAGGTGGGAATTCCAAACAAGGAGACAGGGTCAAAAACAGACAAAGGACAAATGCCATGTAGCCACTGGGGAAGTAGGATGTCCGGGCATTCTCCGGTAAGACAAGGCTACGTGGAGATGCACAGATTAATAAAAATGGGTTAATAATTAAGAGAGAACTAGCCAGTAAGAAGCCTAAAGCCACTGGCTAAACAATTGTAATTGATATTAAGTCTCAGAGTCATCATCTTATTAAGTAGCTGTGGAACCCAGTGGGTGGAGAGAAAACCAGTCCAGTGGGACCGAGATAGGTGGAGAAAATCTCCTTCTACAGACCTCCTACAGACTTCCACTCTATTTGTTTTACACTTTTTACCCTTTTGGCTTTTGCGGGGGCCCACTACCCAGCTCCCAAATAAACACACCCAGAGTCTTATTCTTACTTATCAACACCTGGCCTTAGCTTGGCTTGTTTCTTGCCAGCTTTTCTTAAGTTATCTTGCCAGCTACCTTTTGCCTCTGGGCCTTTATCTTTCTCTTCTGTAAATCTTACTTTCACTATTATTCAGGGTCTTGCTGTGTAGCTGGGGAGGCTGGTCCCTGATGCCCTCCTCTCCTTCTTCTATTTTGCTCCTTCCTTTCTTCCCAGATTTCTCCTCCTATTTATCCTCTCTGCCTGCCAGCCCCACCTAGCCTTGCTCCTGCCTTGCTATTGGCCATTCAGCTCTTTATTAGACCATCAGGTATTTTAGACAGGCAAAATATCACAGCTTCACAGAGTTAAACAAATTCAGCATAAACAAAAGCAACACATCTTTACATCGTTAAACAAATGTTCCAGAGCTAAACAAATGTAACACACCTTAAAAATAATATTCTATAACACTCCACAGTGTGTGTACCCACACATATGCACAAAACAAAGACTTTTAAGAAAAATGTTAGCAAGTTCAAGAGGTAAGAACCTAGGAGGGCTTAATGTACAAATCCTAAAGACCTTCAGTGTGAGCCAGACAGTGGTGGCACATGCCTTTAATCCCAGCACTCAGGAGGCAGAGGCAGGCGGATCTCTGTGAGTTCTAGACCAGCCTGGTCTACAAGAGCTAGTTCCAGGACAGCCTCCAAAGCCACAGAGAAACCCTGTCTCAAAAAACCAAAA